ATCAGTCCCATATGGCTTCAGACTGTCCCGACTGTGCTCCCTAGTGGGCTACCAGTGCCATATACGTTAGAATGCAACAATCTGCTACCACTGGAGTATGATCTACTTTATCATAGCCCATGTCATTTTCTTTAAAATTAACCTTAGTGGCTTTATGCCTCATATTAACCAGATTGCATAAAAAGCCTTAGTGGTTTTATGCCTCATACTAACCAGCTGACAGTCTGAAGCCATTCTATGGGACGGAGAACCCACTAGGTGGCACTGTTGGGACAGTCTGAAGCCATTCTATGGGACTGATAATGGCTAATAACGTCCGGATGATAACATCCGAAGCGGGTGCTGTCATGAGGGTGTCGCTTCGGTCAGTCATGGTAAAGAAAAGGTTAAGTCGTAAGGCAAAGCTCTCGATTTACTGGTTTGTCTACTTTCCAACCCTCGCCTATGATCGTAAGGTTTGGATCATGACCAAAAGAACAAGACCCCTAATATAAGCTGGTAAAATGAGCTTCCTTCTTGGGGTTGCCAGGCTCAACTTTAGAGACAGAGTAAGGAGCTCCGTCATCCAGGGGAGCTCAGAGTGGAGCCCTGCTCCTCCGCATCAAAAGGAGTCGGTTGAGGTGGTTTGGGCATCTGATCAGGATGCCTCCTTTTAGAGGTGTTCCGAGCATGTCCCACTGGTGGACCCCAGAGAAGACCCAGGACTTCCTGGAGAAATTATTTATTCTCTCTAACCTGGGATTACCTCATGGTCCCCCTGGACGAGCTGAAAGGTACTGCCGGGTAAAGGGATATTTGGGTTTCTATCCTGGACCTGTTGAATCTGCGACCTGACTACGGATAAGCACAAGAAGATGGAGCAGATGGAGACCTTTTAAGAGGAAGCCAGACATTTTTCATTCTTCCCGGAGAAAACATACTGGACAAATGGGTACCAGGTGACATACGGTAGTTAGCTTTTACTGTCCATGATTCTAAAAAACTTTCACTTTTACTGTATCCTCTTCCTGCATCTCACGCTTGACGTGCTCTTCTCCTTTCAGATTTTATTTTCACTTCGAGCATCTTTAACACCAGCGGGGTTTTATTTTTTCCTCTCCTTCTCCTCCTGAGGCAATGAGCTCTATCTGTGATCTTCTTCTTGTGTCTCCTCAAACTGATAGTCTCATCATCCCGTCCGTCCTTCATCTTCCTTTTTTATTCTCACACTTATCGACACAAGATCCTTAGTCCTGTCTGTATGCCCCATTTTTTTTATGTGTGTCCATCTACGTGTGCGTTTGTTTGGCTGACATCACCATGGAGATGGGCTTTGTTGCTCTGCGTCTCTGGCTTGACGTTCCCTCGTTCACAGGCCGCCCAGCTCTGACGTCACTGCTCGGCACTGACCCTGCCGGCTCGCACATATGGACCTCATCTATAAGAGATGGATGACCTGAAGAAGCCGCAGTCCCTCCGGCAAAACAAAGCCAGTTCAATAAAGACCGGCTACAGCAAAAAATAAAAATAATAATGACAAAAAAGAAAGACTATGAGATGTGAAGTGACATTTAGCATTTCTCTGCTTGTAAGCAACTGCAACACTGTGTAACCAACACAAAGACATGTTACATCTAACCAAATATTTACAGTGCTCAAAGGGAAATGTCAAGGCTATTTTTATATTAGTGTTAGGGAACATTGTTACCATTAACTCAGCCAAATTCAACTAAAAAAAGATCACACCTACAATTAGGATTCTTGAGTGAAATAAGAACATCATGATTTTCCAATTAAAGAATAATAAAAGCAAATAACTGCATATCTCACCTTGTTCATACGCACAAATAGCAGTTTTAAGGTCTGTCATCAAATTATTACATGAATTAGATCAAAAAAAGTACTTAGAAAAACATGAACAACAACAGAGTGTGGAGATGTGGTCAGTTTCTAAGTTTATTGCAGCACAATAAGCCAAACTTACCCTAAATATAGGATTTATCGAAAACGAAAGTCTTAAAAGTAGTCAGAGTGTCAGCCTCAAAGTTTGTTTCACAAGAGAAGAGCTTGATAACTGAAAGCTCTGCCTCCTGTTCTACCTTTAGAAACTGTAGGAACCACAAGTAAACGTGCAGAAAGCAAAGTGCTCTGAATTTCACAGTGTTTCCCAAACAACTCAAATTGTGCAGATACAAAGTAAAGTAGGTCCGTAGGTCATTCATTCCAACTGCAGTTAGACTGTATAACACATGATGTTATCAGTCACTTGGACAGTTCACCTACACTGGCAGCAGTAATATGCACCTGCATATATATACATTCATGTACTGTACTAGGTATATGTACATTGTTAAATATCACGAGTATAGTGCTTTTTTGTTTTTCTTTTACTTATCTTTTTTATTCTATCTCACTCTGTCCTGTTTGGAGCTGCTGTAATGTGCAAACTTCCCCACTGTCGGATCAATAAAGTTTTATCTTATCTTATCTTATCTTATCTTATCTTATCTTATCTTATCTTAAAAAGGCTGCAGCTTAACTACTTCTTTTCTCTATTTTTGTACAAAAATAGTTTGAGTTTAAATGTATTCAGAGAAGTGCGGAAACAAAATGATTCCCACTGTAAATGTCTGATGTAAATTCAATGTAGAATGTGATCATTTCTCCTTTTTCTGTGACTCATTTTTTTTTTTTTTTTTTACAAATGCTCACCCTTAATTTCACCCAGTTTGATCATAATGTCCTTTTTCTATACCATCTACGAGCATGTTCTTTGGTCGTCCTTTTTCATCCTGCCTGGAAGCTTCATCTTTAACATCTGTTGAACAGATCATCCTTCCTTCTCTGCACCAGTCCAGTCTCATCTGTCAGTTTGATATCCTCATTTTTTATTCGTATCAGCTCCAACAAAACTCTTTGCTTTCTGCGTCATATGCGCGGCATCATTCAAGCTATACATCATTCTTGCTCTTGCATTTTGGAAAACATTTCTTTTCATTTTGTTGCAGTCCACCTGGCACCTGTCACCCATGCCACTCCTCCCCACTCACTCTTCCCTGCCTGCACGCTTCTCTTCACCTCTCTCTCAGGTGCCACTGCTTTGGACGGTTGTGCCAAATTGTGACAACTCATTTACCCTTCACACTTTCAGAATGTCACACTGTAAAGTGGATTGCACTTTGAGCGGGTACGCCCCCTTAACATAATAGCATTATTTACCGTGAAATGACTTCAGACTTCATAGCCAGGGGCTAAACACTCCAAAAGACATTTTTTTTGTTTGTAAATGAATGTTTTGTTTGTTGTTGTTTAAAGGTGGAGCTTTAGGTCTGTTGGGCGTTTCAGGTGCAGACGTTGCACATTCTTGTGAGTTATGGGTTCTTCTGCATGTGCTCCAGCTTTCTCTAAAGATTTATATTAATTAGTTGGTCCTTATTTGACACTTGAGAGAATATAATTATTCTTCTCTGTGCTGAATAAAAAATAGAATTGGAACAATTAAATGTTGTAACAGGTGTACACGTTAAAGTCAAAACATCTCTAATTGAAATGATATTTTGCAGTTTTCAGTCTGTGTACAGTACACATGGATCCAAGAGAGGAACTGTGGTGATTGAGGAAGTCAGGTCTGGAGAAGTACGGAACAGTTAGATGTTTGGGGTGGGAGAGCCTCAGGGATCAGAACTGAGCTCTTTCTTGTTTCTGATGGACGGGTTAACAGATGAGGTCAATATTGTGATCTGTAGTGAAGATAGGGAGCAGGTGGAAGAGAGCTTGGAGAAATAGAGGAGTTAGTCAGCAAAAGCAAATAAATAAATAAATAAATAAATAAATAAATAAATAAATAGATAAGTCAGCGAAAGTAAGACAGAATTGTATATGTGAACAAGAGAGACAGAACAATAAAGATGCATGGAGTATAAAGAAAGAAAGGAAGGAGAGAGAGAATAAAAAACACAACAGAGTATATCATAAAGAACACAAGAATGTCATTATAGATCAGGGTTATTCAACTGACGGCCTGCGGGCCACATTCGGCCCGCAAGTGACCAAAGTCCGGCCCGTCAATTGGTTCATTCATCTCTTAAGCTCAAACCCCCCAGTTTTCTACTTTAATTACTCAAGTTCTTTTAGTTAAAAAAAGAAATATTTGAACGTCAGAAGCTTGGCTACAAGCTGGTAAAAATCCTTTCAATAAACACTCAAGACAGTTAAAACTACAAGAAGTTGAAAATAAGATTGGTTTAAAAATTTAGGAAGTCAGAGATGTCATAATATTATTTGTGTTACTCAGGAGGCATAATGTGTTGTTTTTGTTTTTGAAATTGTTTTATTATCACTACTTTAATAGGGTTCTGTTTGTTCATGATTAAATACAGCAAAATAAACTATTTCAAAGGTAACAGATCTTTGTAATACTTGATTTATTTACATAATGACTTTAATTGCTGGATGTTCGCCCCCAGAGCTGTTGACCTACAGTAATTGTGGCCCCTGGAGAAATTTAGTTGAATGGCCCTGTTATTTTGTACTCTGAAGTATGACATTTCATAAAAACAAAATACTTTTTTAAACTGTTTGAAAATGGATCAATGAGTTCAGCTTTAAAAAAAAATCAATATTTTTTGCTTCACAATTAATGTATTTTCAGGATAGGATATTTGTGGGGGGAAAATGTATTTTCTTAAGCAATGTGTTTAAGTTTTTAGGTTATGTCTGTGACCTCCTGCAAATTGTCTTATATTTGGTAGAAATTCTAGAAATAGTGCCCGTTTGGAGCTTTATCTTCCCGCTGTTTAAAAGTTTGATTTCGATGTTTGCTTTTCGTGTTTTATTCTGATAAAAACCCGCCGCGGCATCATCTGCCTCAGCAGGCTGCTAGACAGACGGTTCCTCCTCCTCCTCCCCTCCTCCCCTCCTCCAGGCGGCGCTGCAGTCCCGTTTGTAGTCCGCATCCGCGTCGCACGGAGCAGACGGGAGCGCGGTGCTCGTCCGTCACGAACTCGCCTACCCAGAAGCCCCCGCGCCGCTTTGGCCTCAACTTGCAGAACTGGCTTCTCGGAGGCTTCGGGAGTGTTTCCCATTTAAACAAACAGTGCCGAAGATGGCGGAGAGTTAATGGTGTAAAAGAAGAAATTACCGCTCCGGGGCGAGAGACACACGTTCACGAGGTAAGACCGCGCTGCGCTCGTGCAGCATTTCGGCGGATTTGAAGCCGCTTCGGTTCGGATTTGCGTGTCGACAGAAACAGAAGTCGGAAACGTAACTGAGTTTGGTTTCCAGCGGCGGTGCACACACACACACGCACACACACATATATAATATTGGCTGCGGTGCGGGAGCGCACAGTGCGGGGTCTGTTAGTGCGTGACAGCCAGGAATCACCCCCCCTGTTCACAGCTATGAAGATGTCATGTCCGTGGGACTGAACCGGCATTTAATGAACTTATCACTGGAGCTCTGCTCCGCCGCTGCTGCTGCTGAATCACACAACTATATATATGTATGTAATAAACGAAGACACGGCAAGTTTGGAAAGAAAATAGTTTATTTGTTATTGTTTTTAAAGTGCTTAGTTTGTGCGAGAGTGGAAGCCGAGCCTGAAGGTGTCGCAACAACATGAGGAAATTTGAAGCGAAATGTTTTGTTGGTCGAACGTGTCCGGACGCACTCTCAGCTCTGTGTGTGTGTGTGTTGTTTGCACAGAGATTCCGTTGTGTGTTTACAGTGGTACATGTCTTTTGTCGGAGCATGTGAAGTGAGAAGGAGGCAGCTTGATGCTGACCGTGTGCGGAGCAGGAAGAAGCGGTGGTGTGGCTGCTGGGAGGAGGGCAGAGCGGAGTGTTTTCCCCGTTAGAGAGCCGTGTTAACCTGGCCTCTGTGTGCGGGTCTCTGACACACATGTGCCGGAGTGGGTCTGCAGGGGGCAGCCCTGTGCGCGCACCCCGGGTTCATCCCCCCCTGTGTGTGTGTGTGTGTGTGTGTGTGTGTGTGTGTGTGTGTGTGTGTGTGTGTGTGTGTGTGTGTG